CGTCCATCCATGGAAATTGATTCGCTTATAAGATGTTTAAAACATTTTAAAGCTCGAAGAGGAAGTATAGATAGTAATTAGTGATAACTTTAAAATCTTTCTCAGTGAACAGTTAAAACAGCTTCTTGCAAAGGAACGTATATTATGGAAATTTATTTTGCCTAAATCGCCTTGGTGGGGAGGATTTTATGAACGACTTATTCAAGTAGTCAAAGATGCATTGAAGAAATGTGTAGGTAAAAGTCGATTATCGTATGAGGAGTTGGAAACAGTATTATATGAGATTGAAATGTCAATTAATAGTCGACCACTAACCTATATTTATGAGGAAGTATATGAACCATTGACCCCGTCTCATCTTGTTATCGGCAGAAGACTGCAATCAATTAATGTAACAACTCAGATGGATGATTCTCAAATTGATAATGCTGATGACCAGAACAGCAGATTGAAGTACTTGAAAACTATTATTGATCATTACTGGAAATGTTTTAGTCGTGAATATATTGCACAATTACGAGAAAGACACCTTTATGATAGAAAAACCCCAAGGATAAAAGGTGGTGAGTATCCACAAGTGGGAGATGTTGTTTTAATAAACGATGATCAGTTAAAGCGAAATTTATGGAAGCAAGGTGTTGTGGAAGAATTGATTTTTTCTAATGATAAACAAGTTCATGGTGCCATTTTAAAGACTTGTATAAATGGGCATGTATCCTTGATAAAACGTCAAGTTCAATGTTTAGTTCCTCTCAAAGTAGTCGAGATTAAAAACTCAGAAAGCGTTATACCGTATAAACCCAAAAGATCGAGAAGGATAGCTGCTGTTATGGGAGAACTAAAAAGAAAAGTTAATATTTAAGAAGAGCTGTTTATCTATTGTTCTTGGATACTTAGTATCCCAGGATCGGGAGCGTCGAATTTAAGATTGTTGTAAAAACCAGATCAATCAGTAATAAGAACCATACGCATCATGTGACGTTGTTTCTCATATTGATTGGTCTAGATTTGAGACAGCAAAACATTATTGTTAAACCACGTTTTTTACTTTCTTGTGTTTTATTATGGTAGCGGTTGGTTTTTAGATTTTACTATTTAAGCACGTTATCTTGTATCTTGTTAAAAAAGAATATACAATATTGAACCAATTTCAGTCTGATTTTAAAAGAAACGAATACATTTTTTAATTAGCTAATACTAATTGAGATTTATCTGAGATAAAGTTCACCAGCCTTGAGAGCCCCATGCTGTAATAGAAATGAGATCCGTTTTAAGCTCAAATGCCCCCTCCAAACAATCAGTGAGTGTTGGATTCTTATTAAGACAAGAATAAATATCATCAGCGAACAATACAACCTTAGATGTAAGAATTTCTGGGAGATTGTTAATGTAAATTTAAAAAAGTATGAGGCCAAGGAAAAAAACTTGAGGAAATACAGGAAATGAAGAAGAGTGTTGTCCATCAAGGACAACTTTTATACTATAATTGGTAAGGAATGATTCAATAATCTTAAAGATATTACCTGATACACCATAAGAAGAGAACCTATGGAGAACAGCATACCAAACTTCATCAAAAGCTTTAGAAACATTGAGAGCGATAACCTTAACCTCTTCATATCAATCTAATGCAATATAAAACCTTTCAGTTATTACCACTAATAAATCAGCAGTAGAACGAGAAGACCAAAATTCATATTGATAATCAGAAGGTAAGTTATTAGATTCAAGTCCGATTGCCGCTTCCCAGCAGGCTGGAAAACAAGACTCTGATAAGCACTTGTTAAATAGTTTTGAAAGTATAGATGACAGCTCCAGAGAACACTTGTGCGACACTATAACAAACTAAACATAAATTTTAATAGAAGCTAAATTTATTTTTTGAATCTTTGCTCGTTTGCGCAGAGATTTTACTCAACATAAAGCGCTTTTGAATTTAAATTACTTTAAATATCTGCGTGAATGGATAAAGTACATCACAGTAAATTTATCTATAAACTAAATCAACAACCCGTTAAGTTACTAGTTACTCAACTATTAAATTTACTTGCAAAAATTAGCCATATAAATATATCTATTTATATCGTATGTTGTTAACACATAATTTAAGCTTTTAACTAAAAATTATTTTAAAAAGAAATCTTGAATAAAATATAAAAAAAGCGATACCATTTTTTAAAATTTTATTTAAAGGGATGCCAAGACGATGTGTTCATGTTAAAGAGAATGATAAAAAAAAATGTTTGGGCAGAAATTTTTTAAGTAAAACAAAATAATAAAGGTATAACAAGAAAAACAAACTTTGTTGTTTTACTCGAAGCTCGTCATTTCCATGTTAACCTTTAAAAAATACACCGCAATCTACAGATTTTATAATTTATTCAAACGTGTTTAATTTCAAAGATCTTTAGTAAATGAAGTCATTATACAAATTTTTTTTTTGAATCAATATTATTTGTTTTTGTTTTATGACTTTCCTATAAATTTTAAAGGAAGCTAAACAAATTTTTTTTTTTTTATAGAGCATGAGAACCAAATAAAAATAATATTTTTATGTTAAAATATAATAAATATTCCCTTAAATATAATGAATATTCAAAAAAGACATTGATCATCTTATATATTCTGAATCTTTTTTCTTTTTTATATAAACAATGTGAACTTTTTTTCTAGTTTATCTAAGCCATTTATCAATTTGGTATTTTTGTATCCTATCATAATGACATTTTACAAACTCTTAAATTTTTAATTAATAAGGAATTTTGGTAAACAACATCATTTATAAGAGATATTAAGGTTAAACTGTTTTTACAATATCAATTACTCTTTAAAAATAACATGTGTTTTATTGTCAGCATGAACGTATTAAGTAGTTTTCTATGACTAATTAAAGTAGTTTAAATGTTGTAATATTTGCATTTTTACTCTTACTTTTTTAAGTATCATGTTTAGTAAAAACATCTGTTCATATAAAAAGTCTTTTAAAAAAAAGTTTCATGTTAATTAAACTTTCCAGAACCAATTATTTATCGAGATACCACCATTTTTTTCTTTCTCAAAGGTATGTTCTGGTTTTTTAATTTTTTTGTTAAATACTGGTCTGATTAATATATTTTGGTAGTTAATAAATGACGCCAATTCAAACAAATTGTTTTAAATAACTTATACTCAAGTTATAAACTTTGGGTTTGGGTTTTACCTTTTGCAATTAATTTTTATGTATAAGAATGCTTTTATATACAACCTTTTATAAAACAAATCAATCTTTTAGTTTTTTAGTTTTTTTAAAAAACTATGCAAATTCATAAAGTTAATATTAACCTCTCAGCCTGGAGTATAATAGCAAAATAACAAAAACACTTTTTTTGTTAATATCTTAATAAATAAATTGTTTTGATAATTTTAATAAACTCAAAAATTATTTTTAATGTTTATTTACAAACAAACATAACTTGTCTTGGCACTTGAGAATCCTTTAAAATAATAAAATTTAATATTATACTTTTTTAAATGTCTAATATAAACTAACTTCTTTCTTTTCTCTATTTGTATAAATGATTTAAAACTTGTTAATTTTTTTTTATTATTATTAATTTTTACATTTTTAAATGTGGCTTTGCAACTAAAAGTGATTTCTTATTTTAAAAAAGTTATTGAGTAACAAATAAATAAATAAAAAAAAACTAAAATAAAATAAATACATTTGTCAAAAAAATTCTCTTTAAGAAAAACGCTTCTTCCTTTTTTTAAGGAAAAATTTTTTAATTTGGTTTCACATATTATAATCAATGATGGAGAGACTTTAATTTTAAGAAAAAAATTAATTTAATAAAAATTGCAAAACTATTTGACATTCAACGATTTCAAAATTAAATTTTAATTTTTAAAACCATATTTAAATTGAAGTTTAAAAATTAAAAAAAAAATTTTATAAAACAATTTTTTTTTTTTTTTTTAAATTCAATTGGGGTAAAATACTTTTTTTTACAACCTAATATTTTCTGAATAAACGTCACATAAACATAAATATTAAAAGATCATTTAAATATTCAAAAAAAAAAAAAAAAAAAAAAAAAATTATTTTATAAAGTTTTTGCATTAAATAAAACTTGCTGAATGCAAATCCATTTTGTACATAAAATAAGAGCTGTGTAACACTTTTTAACAAGGCCTGTCGAAATATATATATATATATATTTTGGACAAATTTAATTCTATTACTTTATTTCAAAATCTTTAAATAAAATTTTGAAAAATAAGAATAAAATAGTATTTTTGTTTAAACAATATAAACTTTTTAGTTTTTATTTAGGATATTCCTATTTTATTTTTATTTTATTTTTAAATAGGTCTAAACGCTTGTACAATTTTCTTATGCTTTAATTAATAATAAAAAAAAATAGGGAAAACAAACTTAAACATTGTGAGATTAAAAATAAAGTTTAATTTATTATTTTATTAAATTTAAAATTTAAAATTTATTATTTTAATTACTTTTTATAGATTTCTTGAATTAAAAAAAAAATACTTATAAAATTACAATACTTATTGACAATAATAATGTTAATTGAATATTTAAGAATATGCAATACTTATCGACAATAATAATGTTAATTGAATATTTAAGAATATGCAATACTTATCGACAATAATAATGTTAATTGAATACTTATGAATATACAATACTTATTGGCAATATTAATGTTAATTACATAATCGATTTATTTCAAAATATATAAAATAGAAAAGATAAATATTTTGTTAATACTAATTTTATCAAACTTAAGCAATTTATGACTTGTATTTTGAGTTAACAAAAAAAAATATGTTTGCTTTGTTTCAGCTTAAAAGCAGTATATCAAATGATTATTAATTATTTTTGCATTAAAAGTGCTTGTATGTTTTTTTTTTTTTTTTGACTTATGAAAATTTTTTGTTACTTTAACTTTAAATTTATTTTATTTTTTTTCTTGATTTTTATCTTTTATAAAACATCTAACCTTGTAAAAATATTTTCACTTGAGCAATACTTGCGCAATTTTTCAAGTGGAGTAAGCAGATCATCAGGATTTGAATGGTCAAGCATAGATGTCTCATAAAACTTGCTGTAATCTAAATAAAGATATACTTTAATGACCCCTAAATGATAGCTTCTATTTGGTATGCAAAATGCCTAAATCTTGTACTCCAATATACTTTAAGCTAAAAATCAATAGTCAACTGAAAACATTTCCATATGAAAAGAATTTCTAAAATTTGGTAAGTAAATTTAGGTAAGTAAATTAGTAAGTTTAAAATTCATTGAACTAGGATAAATTTTAAAATGCTGATGCATCTAGATTTTTTTTTAAATTTATATAGAAAAGTTTACTTAAAGTGATCCCAAACTCCCAACACATGTTGTGTTCATATTAGAGATAATGTTAAAAAAAAAAGGTTTGAACCAAGTTTTTTTAATTAAAAACAAATAATGAGTGCATACCGAGAAAAACTAATGTTGTTGTTTTAGCCGAAGCTCGCCTTCTCCATTTTTTTCAATAACTCGGAGTCTTTAAATTATACGTCGCAATCTACAGACTTTGGCGATTCCTTTGAAGCGCATTTAATTCATAAAAGTTTTAGTATTTGACGTCACGGTAGACTTAACAAATGAAACTCTGGAAATACTTGTATTTATTTTTATTCGAACTTTTTTTGATTATTTGTAAAGTTTTTTTTTTCTTCTATTTTTAACATTTAAAAAGATATTATAAACCTCAAGTATTTTATGCTGGTTCGTTGCTATAAATTGTTATTGCGCCATATATTTAATGTTTATAAATAAAAATGCTGTTACTAAGTACAAATGCGATTACTAAATATATTTAATGTTTATAAATAAATAAATGCGATTATATTTAATGTTTATAATGTAATATGTTTAATGTTTATAAATAAATAAATGCGATTACTAAATATATTTAATGTTTATAAATAAAAATGCTGTTACTAAATAAAAATACTGTTACTGTTACTAATTTTATAAGGGTAATTAATGTAAAACAATTTTTTATCAGAGTCTTGATTGAGATAAAAAATATTCATAATATTTATTATCTCAATCAAGACTGATAAAAAAATGTTTTACATCAATTACCCTTATAAAATTAGTAACAGCATTTTTATTTGGTTAGACAATATTTTGTCTCAATTTGCTTTGTATGAAGTTCGGGAAGTTAAGCGAAAAAAATTAGTTTGAATAATCATTTGTTTTAAATGTATTTAAAACAAATTACTTTAATGACGGGAGTTTGAAAGTTTTTTATAACAAATGTAGGTACAAAATAAATAATTAAATAAAAAGTTCAACATTAAACATCATTTCTTTATTTTATTGCAACTGTAAATATTGAAATATTAACTTGAACTAAATTTACTTATTATTTAGAACGACTAAGCAATAAAAATAAAAAGCCCCTAAAATTATGCGATATTGTGTTGTTTATTTGATAATTGTTGTTGGTAATGTTGTTTATGTTGATTATTTTCATTAACATCAAAATAATCATTAATCTGTTAGTTGCTTTGTTCATTATTGCTTTATTTCTAATTTAATTTTATCTCAAAGTATAAATTTATGCTAAGAAAGAAAAGTTTTTATTTCATCGCTCGCTCTTTTTATAAAAGAGTAGAACGAAAGAGAAAGAAAAATTTCGCGTAATTACACTTCGAATGAATAAGAGTTGTATAGAATATTTTTTTTTTTTGCGTCACTTGTTTTTTTTTTCAGATGAAAGAAATAAAAATTTAATAGCAATTTTGCTTTGAATAAATGAAAATTGGAAGAGAAAATTGCTTGAAAATTTGTATTTGTTGTGTTTTTAAAACTTTTTAATTTTTCATATGAAGAGACAAATGCCAAATACGATACAAATTGGGAAATACCAAATATAATATTTTTTTAACGCGCGTTATGACATTTTGACAATTTAAATTACCATTTATCTTGAATTATTGCCATTAATTAATGTGTTAATTATTGTGTTATATAATGATAATTTGTCCGTATTTTTGTTAAATATTAGTTGTATAAAACGGGCGAAAATATACAAACTTCATGTTTTTTATTTGATGGTTATAAAATATTGAACAGTAAACTGATAATCAAAATTTATAATGCCGACTTGTGTTGCTATTAATTGTACTTTTAATGCAAAATCAGGATCTCACATATCCTTTCACGAACTTTTATATCTGATACTAATGTCAACTTTATTGTTTAGTGTATTCTTGTACTTTTTTTTCATAACCATAACAGGTTCTAATTGGTATGGAGTTGCCGACATTTTAAAAGTTTCAACAAAAATCATATGTAAAATATTTCCTTTATATCTGTATCCAATTTAGCAAATTTAGAAACTTAAAATAAATCAGCGTAATCAAAAAAACTTTATAATAAAAAAAGTTAACAATTCAATTTATGAAATTAATTGTTAATAAATACTTTTATTCGATGGGAAAACAAAAAATATCATAAAGTTCTATATAATGTAAAACACTCGTATGAAAATAATAAGATTCGTAAGTAAGGCTTTAATATTTATTTTAATTTAAAAACAAAAGAATTATAAGTAAGTTAAATAAAAAATTATTAAGATATCTGTAAAAAAAAAGCTCCTCCTATGAAATAGAAAGCTTTTATTATTTTTGATTTTTACAAAAATTTGTTGTAAAAGTTGTTTTGCTGTATGTTAAAAAAAAATACTACATTGTACTTTTTGAATTAAAGTAGAAAAACGCAGCTTTGTTTAAATACACTTTACTTTTGTTAAAAACCTATCGTGACGTCAAATGCTAAAACTTTTATGAATTAAACGCGCTTCAAAGGAATCGCCAAAGTCTGTAGATTGCGACGTATAATTTAAAGACTCCGAATTATTGAAAAAAATAGAGAAGGCAAGCTTCAGCTTAAACAACAACATTAATTTTTCTCAGTATGCATTCATAATTTATTTTTAATCAAAAAAACTTGGTTCAAACCATTTTTTTTAACATTATCTTTAATATGAACACAACATGTGTTGGGAGTTTGGGATCCTATTAAGTAAAAAGAATTATAGTAATATAAAAAATAAAAATAAAAACATTAAATTTATCCTGATAAAACACAAACTTTACAATTATAATTATAATTGGAAAATGACTAGCTATTACATTAAATACATATAAATATACATATATAAAATATACAATAATATACATATATAAAATATACAATAATATACATATATAAAATATAAATATACTATATACATTAAAAATATAACATTATTTCAAGGAAAAATTTCAAAGACTAAAAAACTTAAAAAAATGCTCAAGATGTGGAAACGATACTTAACATTTTATGACTAAGACTCAAAAGGTTTAAGTTAGTATTTGAATTTTAAAACTTAAACATTTTAACTTTGAATTCAATCCAACAAGATTGTTTTCTTTCTTTTCATTGGAAGGTCAACAAAAAAAAAGTTATAATATGACTTAACCTGTAACAGAAAATTCTACAAATCAAAGAGAATAATTAACTATGGAAGTAGGAAGGCTTCGACTAAAAATGAAACTTTTTGCAAACCTGGCCCCAGCAAAATTATAAGATTTAGCAGGGGTTGATAGTCAAGGCTAGAAAAAAATTTATAATACTTTATATATACTAATATTTTATTCTTAAATGATAATTTTATTTAATCGACTAGATTATTTATTTACTAGTCAAGAAGGAAACATTGTAATAGCAAAGCTAATCGAAACGAGTTCCCTTTGTACCGAAGTACTACTTATACACTGAATAGGCAGAGCTGGGATTCGAACTTGCAATTCTCAACTGCTACGGTGAATATTAATTCCAAACTTTGTAGCGCTCTAAACAACTAAGCTCTCCTGGCTCTTACATTTACTATTAATTAAATACTAGCATTATTTATATATTTTTAAACTCTTATTTACTTTCAACAAGGTTCCAACCAATCACTATTAAGTTATGAGTTAATTTAAAATAGAGGATAGTTATGCTATCTTAAACAAAATACTTATGCACAAAGAGGACACATTTATATAAAGTGTTTGTTGTAAATAAAGAAAAGAAACTGTAAATTCTTTTTTTTAAGGTTAAAACCAGCTCATCCAAGCTGCGTAAGTGAGCAAGCAGACCTTGTTCTAAAGTATTACAATGTACACACTTTACATACGAAATCTCAATTTTGAGTATACTATTTTGGCTAAAAACATTTTTGTTCTGTAACAAGTCTAAATATATCCACAATAATTAATAAATATAAACCACAAATGCTACAAAAGATCGAATGACAATCATATAAATATTCTTATTATTTACAAACAGAATAAATTCAAATAAAATTAAAAAAAAAGAAAGTTTTTTTTTTAAACCAAAATATTCAGCAACAGAAAAAAAAAACTGTCGATACTTTTAATACAATATTATTAAACGATAAAAAAAATAAAAATATTATAGGACATTATTGTTTATTTTGACTTTATACACATTAGTTTTATATGTAACGTTTCGCTCAAGTAAGGTAACTGCAACAAAAACCAGAAGTTCTATTTTTAACAAAAGTTTTCAATGCTTCTAAATTTTTCCTGCTTAAGTAAAATTAAAAAATAAATTTTTGTTTTTTATTTTTCAAATTAAAAAAAACAGATAATAAATGAAATGTTCAAAAAAAAATTTAGCTAACTTCAACTCATTTTAATGTTGTTATGATAAAACTAGTGTGTTTAAAATTTTGTGCTGACCTGACCTGACAGTGTCTGAAGTTTGCTAAAAATTGTCCACTTCATAATTTGTTATTTTGAATAAATTAATATGACAAAACAAATGCTTTATTTAATTTTTGGATAAAATAATTAAAATGAAAACAGCAAAACAAACAATTTATTTAAAATTTAAATAAAATAGTAAAAATTATAACAGAAAAAACAATGTTTTATTTAAACTCTAAATAAAATAATTTTAGAAAAAAATCTGCAAAATAAACCTTTTACTTAAAATCTGAATAAATTGATTTAAAAAATACAACATTAAAACAAACAGTTCATTTAATTAAATAAACCATTTG